GTGTTCTTTTCTGGGTGTTGATATGGGGAGAAGCAGGCCACATGCATTGTCCTACGGACTCCCAGGGTCATGAGTGAAGGTAAGTGGTGGGTTCGATGGCGTGTACCGATGAAGGGTGTCTGAGGGCTACCCTGTGCTGGTGGGGGAGGACGCTTTTCTCACCTCCCGGATGCTCCTGGCTGTCAGTGTGATCTCGCAGCCTTTCAGAATGAGGCTGGATAGAAATTAATAATGTAGTAACATTAGCATTGCCTCATCCCATGGGGTACTTTTTCCCAGTGGCCCTTTGCTTACCCCACTTTGGGTACCCAACCCCGACACATCCTGGACTCTGAGGCTCACACCTCTCCCCAGCGGGAGTCCCTGGACCCCAGCCTGCACGTTTTCCATCCACTCAGCATTCACCTCCTCCAGGAAGGCTTCCTGTCCTGAATCCTCTCCCTCCCTCAGCCTGGGGATGAGGCCCAGCACCCTCTCAGTCACCCATCCATCCAGGTCCAGCCCCTTCACTGCGGACCATGCAGCGTCCGTCAGTCGGTCACATGTGCTCTGTGTCAGTTGCTCGCACATGCCCTTGGTGGTGCAATCTAGAGGGCGAGGAGGGCATGGCGGTGGCAAGATGGTACCGGGCTCCTGGGCAGGGAGGAGCTGGAGAAGGGCAGGCTGCAGACCTGCCTCTGCGTCCTGCCTCCCTCCCCTGCTGTCACAGGGAGCTGCCCAGGGCCCCGCAGACCCTCCATCCTCACGGGGGAGGGTGCAGTTGCTCCCACCGCTCCCCACCCACAGGGCTTTGCACACAGGCCCGGGACCCTCCCGTGCACCAAAAGGTCAGCTGTGAGTTTCTAGATGCGGGCTGAGAGACAGGAAAGGGACAGACATTTGAAAAAGGCATGGTCATGATTTAAGCTCTCAGGTCCGAGTTCCCATAAGCTTACTCCTCACCAGTGCAGATAGCAGTGCTGTTGTTTTCTTTGTGTGTGTTTTTTTAAATATATTTTTTATTGATTTTTTACAGAGAGGAGGAGAGAGGGATATAGAGCTAGAAACGTCGATGAGAAAGAAACATCGACTAGCTGCCTCCTGCACAACCCCTACCGGGGATGTGCCCGCAACCAATGTACATGCCCTTGACCGGAACCGAACCCTTCAGTCCGCAGGCCGACGCTCTACGACTGAGCCAAACCGGTTTTGGCAACAGTGCCGTTGTTTTAAGGCCATTACTGCCCTGCCTGACTAAAAGCGTGTCACTCCTCCGGGGGACTTTCCTGTCTACTCTAGGACCTGCCCAGCGCCTCCCCATCCCCAGCCTCTTCTGTCCCCGTCTCTGTGGCTCAGACAGACTCATGGGGCCTTCCACAGCGGCCTCTTCCTAGTGGGACTGCTCCCTGTCTCTCCCCAGCGCTTCCTACCTGGTCAGCACCCAATCCTAAACCCACCGCCTAGCCACGCCGATGCCCTACTTACACCATCCAGTTCCTGGGCGCTGTAGGTTCCCCCCTATTCCCTTTCTGTTCCTTCCTGCCTTCTTCCTGGTCCATAGAGGGTGGGTCTCCGAGAGAGAAGGCAATGCATGGGGCGAGGAGAGGGGGGTACTGTGAAAGGTGAGTCAGCCAATTTTGCCCTGCGGTTTAGGGAGGGGTGCATTCACTTCCATCAAGACCCAGAGACCATGGGGTACCATGCAGGCTCCACTCTGCCAGCCGTGCTCACACCCCAACTCAGAGGGGGTCAGACCAGAGCTGGATGGGGCCCTGGGCTGCATCCTGGACAGGAAACGTGGGCAAATGGGGAAATCAACTAGAGAGCACCGATGTGAACTCTGCGTTTTGACAAACGCGCCCTGGTTATGTAACGCCGTGTGCACCCTCCCAGGAGGCTGGGCGAAGGGTGCATGGGAACGCTGTGTGTTATCTCCGCCACGTTTCTGTAAATCCAAAATGACTCCAGAATAGAAAGTTTATTTTAGAAAAAGTGGGCCAGAGTGCAAATTTTAGTCTGGCTAGCAGTCTCTTACTGCACGGACACCCTCACATTTAGTTATATCCCAACCATTTGTAGAAAAGGAATGGGAATGAGGACTGCAGGGAGGGTTCGAAAGGCTTCTGTGAAGTGTCTGTGAGAAGGCAGCAGCCAAAAGAAAAACAAAACAAATAAACACAGGACCTGGGTGCGCTTTGGGGCTGGTGGTGGGGGAGGCAGGGCCAGTGAAAACGTGAAGCCAGAGGGGCCCTTTGGGAGAGGCAGCTGCGCAGGGCTCTCCTCTCTCTCTCTCTCTCTCTCTCTCTCTCTCTCTCTCTCTCTCTCTCTCTCTCTCTCTCTCTCTCTCTCTCTCTCCTCTCTCTCTCTCTCTCAGCACATCTCTTGGCCTTCATTTCCTCTCCTTTAAAAGGGCCCCGCCCAGCTCACACACAAACAGACGCCCTGTGAAGGTGAATCCTTACACCAGCGGAGCGGCTCCATTTCAGACCCTGTCCCTGGTGCTCACAAGGGGAGAGAAAGCGCCTCGGCTGCGGGCTGGTCCCCATCATGCCCGGAGCCGCAGGGCTGTGCTGCGGGAGCGTTTTCCCTTTGCACTTGGCGCGGCCCCGCTTCCTCTTTATCAGATCTTCACGTCAGAGCCAGAGCCCTTCGCCTGCTAAATATAGGGGAACAGATGTGAGCGGGGACCGCGCTCCTTTCCGCTACACAAAGGGCCTTTCTCTCCGCTCCTCAGCCCACAGCGGGCAGCTCCGGAGGCTCCCAGGTCACCGGGAAGGGGGCGGGGGCTGAGCACGCTCTGCCTTTCCAAGCGCCGGAGCCCGGGTTACTTTGTTTCAGCTTCTTACTGGCCATCTGAACAAGTGTCTGTGCCCAGACTCCAGAGAGATCCACCAGCTCCTTAAAGCTCATGGGGACGTTCATTTTAAAAAGAAAAAAAAAATCATATGCAACACAGTATGCACTTTTCTCTGGGGCGTGTGCAATTCACCTTCTGGGGTCACGCTGAATGCTAAGCGCTGCTTCAGACACACAGCCTCCAAGGCCAAGAGCCTGCCCCATAGGACCCTCCCTGCAGTTAGGTGAAGGCTCAGTAAAGGGCTAGCGCTCACACCAACACCAGAAAAACCCAGGGAATGGCTGGCGGGTTGATGTCACTGTTTGGACCCATAGCACCCAACGGATCTCCAGGGCTGCACCTGGGAGGGCCGTGCTTGTCCCTGGCGCTTTCTTCCAGCTGTGGCCTGAGTCCTCTCCTCCTGGCCACGCCGGGTCCTCCAACCACCTCAGGGTAAAGGCTCTCTCAGGGGTGGAGGCCCAGACAACTGGCTCTTCCTGCCCTGTTGGTCCTGGCGTGTTTCTTCATGGCCCGTGCCCTGACCTGGGAGCAGGTGCGCGCGTGCCCAGTGAGATGGAGGAGGGCACCCTAACGGCAGGACAGCGCATTCGGGCCCCACCTGGAGGCTCCCGGGTGACCTGGACATGAGCAGCACGGTGGCTGGTGTTGTCTGCAAGCTGTCCTTCACTGTGGCTTCCTCAGCCTTAGGCTGGCAGTCAGGAGAAAGGTGGCCTGGCACTAAAGCCGGAAATACACATTTCACTTGGTCTCTATGCATGGACCCAGCGATGAGACAAAATAGGATTCCCTGTCTCAACATCTTTGGGTATTCTTCATGTTTAACATGGTTGGGATCTTTTTAACTTTCAGATATTTTAATTTCTCCAGCAACCTAACTCCCCTTTGGAAAATGGACCCACGTCAAGATTTAAGGTACTCCTTTGAAACAAAACCTGTGACTAGACGATAGAAGATTCATTGAAGGGGTGCCCATGCTCATTGCCCCCTTTTTAACAGATGATCAAATATAATAACTAAAAGACTAAATGCTTATGGCTCTTTTGCATATATTTAAAAACACACAGTGGGAACAGAAGAACATCTCAAATCATTTAGAAGGAAAAGGAGTTATCAACCAAAATCTTTGGAAAGTTCATAAAATGTATATATCTGCAAACATTGCAACCAAAAAGAAAAAAATAAAATTCCAACATTTGGCTATGGAGGGCGCTTCACACGTGGACCACATGGTGCTAATATTCTCCTTCTGGTAAACTAGTCACTTAACCCCATTAGGAAGAAGGCAAGGCCATCATGGAGGCGTCCGGCAAGCCATACCCCGGGCCAGGCCGTTCTGTCAGGAAGTGCTCATCTGCCTCGGGTTTTCTTTCCATTGCAGGCGTGACTGCACACTTCTACAATGCAAGGATGAGAACAGCCTCCAAGTTTTGCAAAGTAGATTGATGTCCATTCTACAAAATTATTAACTTACAGTACGTAACACTGAATGATTTTAATCTGTACATTCACACCCCCCCCCCGCCCCCAAGTAGGTGACGTAGGTGTTTGTACAAGTTGAAAAAAAACAAAACAAAACACCCACATCTGGTTGTTCACATCTGGATTAAGAGTCAAAAGAGGCCAACCAGAAGTAGCGGGGTGGGGATATATTGAGAAGGAAGAAATACAGTGGAATAGTAATTTGTGGCTAACAGTATTCAGCTCTTAACAAAGTGATACAAAACAAACCCCCCTTAGACGTTTGACGGCAAAGATCTAGCCGAGAAGGTTCTGTGAAGCAGCCAGCCAACTGATCCCAAGGCTAGGCAGACTCAGCTTAGTGACTGCAGCACCAGCAGCACGGTGCTGGTCAGATGCTCTTCAAATGCACCATTTCGGTGTCACACACTCATTGGTTCTATTCCTTCACTTAGATAATCCTCTAGACCGCTTCCTTTTTGTTTCGCACGCATCTCGTTCTGTTTTCGGTAAGGGCATCTCCTCCTCGGTCATTCGTGTGCTTTTTAATTTGTTTTTGTGATTGTGTGTGTGTGTGTGTGTGTATGTGTGTGTGTGTTAAGCTGTCAATACCTCCAACACTTGGAAAATGAAATATAAATGTGGTTTCACTCACAAAGAGCTCTCGGGACAATGCAAAATGAAGGGAAATAAGTGTCAGAAACAGTTTATAAAAATGGCACATTTATTGCTACAGAACGGTCATGTACATGACTTCATCGATAACTACAGATGGGACAGGTAATGGCCTGGACCAGGCTGGGCTTGCTTTTGTCTTGAAGAAACTCCAGCACACAACCTGTTTGGACACGTCTACAAATCAGAAATACACCAAAAACATGAAAAAATCGAGGCACTCAGCCACACATTGAAAACAAGGTGTAACTGTTTATCTTTTTTTTTTGAAGTGTTTTCCCTTTTTTTCTTTTTTTAACAATTTTTTTAAGTTTTTAATGCTGCAGCTATGTGTACAGTCGCAAAAAATTTCCCCGCTGCGACCTACAACTAAAAAAAATAAAAATAAAATAAACGAAACCAAAACAAAAAACAAACAAAAAAGCTACCATACAGTTTCATCTCAGTAACACATGGTAAAATAACATCTCTTAAATAGTAAAATAAAGTAACAAACTTTACTCATAATGATTCCAAAAATCTACAAAGAAGAAATATTCAGAATCTGACAATTTTTTTTGTAATATTCATGGTATAAAAGGATTGCTCCTACGAAAAATAAGCCAAATATATTTTTTATTTTTAAATTTAGTTTTTTTTTTCTTACTAGGGTGTACTACAGTCTATTTTATAGCAAAAAGAGCACTAGACAAACAAAGCTTTATAACAAAAAGCCAGGCACTGATACATGGTAAATCTCTGCTTTTTTTTTTTTTTCTTATCTTCACTTAATTGCATCACAAGTAACAAGAATGAAAAAGGCCACAGTTCATATATATTTCACCGTTACATATGTCTATAATACTTGAAATGAGGATGGCAAAACCAGCACTGCACGAAGATGAGTCCACTTCAAGTCCCATGAGAAAGAGCATGTCTCTAAAGAAAAAACAAACAAAACCAAAGCAAAATAAAAAGTGAGGCCTCGCGGCCTTGGTGCCCCATCATGTTGGAATTCATCATATTCCATCTTGACATTTTTTTGTTTTTGTTTTTTGTTTTTTTTTTGTTTCCAGTCAGCCAGCAGACAAAAATTTTGTGCTTATTTATGCTGAAAAAAACGTTTCATTCCTGACTCAAGTTCACTTTTGGACACAGATCATATTCTGCCTGTTGGATCCAAGACGAAAATCCTCTTAACCCCAAGTCTTGGTACAACTCCCTCCCCAACCCCGAACCCCTCATCAAAATAAAGATCACACGTAAAAACAAAAATTAAAAAAAAAAAACACACCAAGAAATAGGAAAAAAGCGAAAAAAACCCCCAAAACAAAGGAATTGGAAGACTGAGTCAGAACCAGCTGCGTCACTGGGTGGACTGACAAGTTGTATAAACATTAGTGTTCCTTGCAGTTACACAGAAGACAAATGGTAAACTTTCTAGATGCACAGATCCCTATTCTGCATATTCATAAATTACTTGAATGTGGAGGTGGATCAACGGTTCCAAGTTGCTTTAATGTCCGAGTCTCTTGAACAGATCCCCAGCCCAGGTGTCATCACATATATCCTATGGACCCTTATGGCATTTCTGGGTAGTTCTTTAATTCTGTCTTCTGCTAAATTTCACTAGAAAAATCCGGCACAGGATACCAATATCTTACCTGGGTTTGATCATTTACAAAACAACGAGAGAAAAAAAAAAGAACACACTAAGAAGAAGGCCACATTCCCTTTCATCATTTTCTTTCTTTTTTTTCTAATAGGGACGCAACCCAATTACATGGATAGGTGCCGATGTTTCTCCACCAAGCAACAAGCGCGGAGCAGCTTTTGGTGGCCATGAGGAAGTTTTTCACTTCTTTCCAAAGGGAATTTGACAAGCGAGGTATTGCATTACTGAGTAATGAATACCTCAAAGCTGGTGAACGATAAAATTGCAGCTTTTTTTCCTCTGTTGGGAGTGAGAACAAAATATAAAGCACCCATTTAAAAAATAATCAAATAACTACACTTTAGTTTTTTTTTTTTTTGCTCTGTTTACAGGTGTGAAAGCCTTTAAAAATCAGCTCTATGAAGCACCTCTATGACAACGTGTTATCAACAGTGCCATTCTTAAAATGTACATCAACACCGGGAGTGCTTCCAGTTCCCGAAAGAGTAAACACCGTATTTTCTTCTGTACACATATCCTGAATGTGATCCAAGTAGACCTGCTTCCTATACATTGTTCCTAGGGATACCCGCCTTGGTAGACTATACAAAGTGATAGAATGTACCACTAAAGGAAATCTTTACATACCGAGGGGACACAGACACATGGTTTCCATTATTTCAGAGGAGGGGAGCGGACACAGCACTGTCTTCCGTGCCCTCTTGCAGTCCCTTTGTTCATACATTTCGCAGGAAAGCCTCCACATAACTTTTCATGAACTTTGATCTCTGCTATTCTCCTAAGGTTTTAATCCACCTCCACATTTTAGGAACTTATCAACAAAATCAAAGTATTTTCGTTTTATCGCTACTGAACATATTTACAGTTTTCAACACACACTCACACACACTCACACACACACACACACCCAGCTAATCAAAATGTTTATGGGTTTGTAAAAGATGACCACGTGGTAACTACCTTATTTGTTCTTACATTTTCAGAAATGAACATAAAATTCAGATTCTTGTAGCTCATTGTTTCATTTAAATGAGACGCTTTTAAACCACACAGTTAAAAAAACAAAAACAGAAAACAAAAACCAATACAATGTATTAAAACACATAACAAGAGTCTACATGTAAAAATATAACTTTTACATACACAATTTCAAAATAATGATACGTTTGTCGTTTGTTGCATAAAATTTACAAATGTATTTCATTACTATATAACTGGCAAAACAGGAGAACAGATGGAACATTTAGACCATTTTGATGGATTTATGGCATTTACTCAGTGCTGATAGGTGGAAAAAACTACTTGAACAGGGATTTTTTTTTTTTCTTAATACATGCCAAGATTGTGTGGCTGTAAAAATAGAAACGAGTTAGAGACAAAAGGATGCTGACAAATACTTAACTAGGAGCACTATTTGTTTACTGCACTATTACACCAAACTCAATCGTTATAAAGATTCACGTTGGAAGTTGGTTCAATTGTGCCCAGACGTCAAAGCTAGCTATCTGATGAGTTGCTGTGCCATAGTTTGATCTATGTTTCTATCAAATATGTTAGGTATAAACTTCATTCATACTGGCCAGAGAAATACTGCACTACCCCTCCTCAAGAAAGTGCAACTTAATGCTTTAGGACTTATAAGGCTTGTTATAATGCTGCATGATGATTGAATATTGGCATTTTTTTCCCTTCAGATGGAGGAGGCAGTTCTATCATCTACATCTTAGTAAACCCATTTTGAAATTAAAAAAAAAATCAAGAAAGCAACAAAAATCAATCAGCTCTGTCACACTACTTGCAATTTTCTCATTTGATGGTTTTTGAAACTTTGTTTTTTTGTTTTTGTTTTTTTCCAAAAATCTGACCATGTATTCAGAAACGCCTCACTGCACACTACTTCGGCTACACATGTAGGTAACACTTTAATCATTTTTGTTAAATCACAGCCACTTTGATTATGTTATGTTTCCGATGATATAAACATTGGAAGGCACAGTGGTAACATTGTAGCATTCTAACCTTGTACCTCTGAAAACCCCGGAAGAGGGTCACACACGCAGCATTACCATTCAGACAAACTCCTCTTGCCATGTCTCAGTAATGCTGCTTGTAGTATCTACACGTGATGTGACTTTTAAGTCCTGTGTTCCCAAAAGACTGGAGAAACAACGCTCTACTTATTTTGTGAATGAAAAGCAACATCAGGGTCAGCGTTTCACCCTGCACTACCCCTCCGGAAGCAGAGTTGGCACTACAGGTTTACGATAACAAACCGGGAAGGGACAGAAATAAGACCAAAAAAAAAAAAAAAAAAAAAAATCCAAAAAAAAAAAAAAAAAAAAAAAAAAAAATCCGTATTTACAGTAAAATCTTTCTTTTAAAAAAGTTAATCAGTACTATTTTTTTACAGGAGGAAAAAAGTCTGAAACAAATGAACAAAAGCTTACCATAGTCACTAAATTTTTAATATATATTTATATATATATTTATATATATATTTGTCATAGGTCTATAAGATCCATCTGTTCCTCCTACCCTAGGAATGGCTAATGTCATCACTTCGCTGTCTCAGGACGTTTGCTGGTTTTGTTACGGGGGCAGCCGCGCTGCCCCCATTCGCTACCCAGGAATTAGAAACACGAGCTGACTCGAATACCAACAAAAACGTTCATGTAGTTTTCTTCAGAAGTACACTTTTTCATTATTGCAAGTTTACAATTTTTTAAATTAAATATTTTTTTTTTTCAGACTTACAAATTAATTATATTTTTTTTTTTTCCAAAAGAAGTTTAGGCACAAATGCATTGTTCCACAGTGTGGAAGGATTGCCATTCAGTCTCTGGGCTGATCTCAGCCTGCTCACACCGCTTTGCACATTCTGAATGATATGTTAGAGAGAGTCATCCCTCAAGTTGCACTTTTTTCTTTCTTTCTTTCTTTTTTTTGTTTTTTTGTTTGTTTTTCGGTTTTTTGATAATTGGGAATGCTGAAACCTCTTGCGTCTGCGATTCATAACTACTCAGACTTGTCTTATATTACAAAAAAGGGGTTAGGGAGAAGTGTTTATGTGGGTTTAAGATAATACAGCTGTTAAGGAAGTGGTCTCTTGTGTTAATGAAGCAATGTGGCAGCTTGGACCTGAGAAGGAAAAGAAGAGGGGAAATAATTAATATAGTGACACCAGTAGAAGTAAAGGTTTTATTCAAAAGCTCTTTTAGCAAAGGGAAAATCTGTTGATCTGGGGAAATGGACTGCTCTGGCCACTACTTCGGTGGGAGAAACTGGGAAGGTCAAGTGCAGGGGGAGGACCCCAGGGGAGGCTGGTGCAGGGAGCTCAGTTGGAGGACCACAGGGAGGCTGGGTGTAGGGAGCTCAGGTTGGGGGACCACAGGAGGGTGCTGGGTGCAGGGAGCTCACTTAGAGGACCTCAGGGGGAGTTGGGTGCAGTGAGCTCAGTTGGTGAACCATAGGGGGGGCTGGGTGCAGGGAGCTCAGTTGGAGGACCACAGGGGAGGCTGGTGTAGGGAGCTCAGTTGGGGGATCTCAGGGGGAGCTGGGTACAGGGAGCTCAGTTGGGGGATCTCAGGAGGAGCTGGGTACAGGGAGCTCAGTTGGGGGACCACAGGGAGGCTGGGTGCAGGGAGCTCAGTTGGGGGACCATAAGGGGGCCTGGGTGCAGGGAGCTCAGGTTGGGGGACCTCAGGGAGGCTGGGTGCAGGGAGCTCACTTAGAGGACCTCTGGGGGAGCTGGGTGCAGGGAGCTCACTTGCCCTTTCACATCTGTCCCATGTGGTTCGAAGCGTCTCCCATTCCAGGGTGAGGGCCCGCCAAGGACAGCGGGGGAGGCTCCGAGGATACCTTTTCTTCCTCCCTTCTTTTCAGACACGCAGCTTTCGGATTCAGATTCCTCTCTGTGGGAGAAGGAAGCACAAAGCCCTCAGTTCATGCCCAGGATGCTGGTAGAGGGCAATGTGTACCCTTCTGAGGACCCTTCGCTGAGGTTCACAGACAGAAGGAGGCCCAGTAAGAGAGTGTGCTATAGACTCCCCCCCTCCCCCCCCCGCAGTCACCAGTCGTGGGTGAGCTGCATGGGGGATTCAGAGCCCTTTATGGTATCAGAAAGCTGGTGAAGCAAACACTAAGCTCGGATGACTGATTGGACAGGGAAGCTTCACACTGCAGCCTCCGTGGTGAGAGGACCCTGTAACTTAACTGCAGGAGAAAGGGGAGCTGCCTGCTGGATGCAGTGGCGATCTGCAATGGACAGAACTATCCTGAGCTGTGCTTCTGTGTCCTCCCTGCTCCTGCGGGTCCCGCACGCTCCCTTCGGCCCCAGGAGCCGTGGCTTCTGCAAGGAGCGGCTGCCTGGCACTGACCTCGGACCTGCTGCTCCAGGCTGAGGATGACGGCCACGGCCTGGTGCAGGATCAGGAGCTTGGTCTGCGGCTTGTCACTCTTGAGGTGGAGCTGCACCATGCGGCCCAGCTCCTTGAAAGCCTCATTGATGTCGCGGACGCGCAGGCGCTCGCGGGCGTTGTTGGCCATCCTCCGCTCCTTCTCCCGCTCCGCCTTCTGCTCCGGGGTCAGGTCCTCGTCGTCATTATTGCTGCGGGACAAAAGGGGCACAGGGACATTTTCTAACGGTGTCGGGGGAGAGGCGGTCACTCAGTTTCTTTGCTTTCTTCCAGAGTTTGCGCGGAATGTTTCCATCTCAAGCTCTTGTCCTCAGCGGAGCTTTACCTGCACTCGAGCAGGCACTGCTCTGCATGGCTGTCACAGGCCCTAGACGTTAAGCTCAAACGGAACAGAAGAGGTTAAAGTGAGGGCCTAGGGTGCGCCCATTCTGATGCAGGAGGGCGAGGCTGAACCCTGCAAACTGGGCCACAGTCAATGTCAGCTGAAGCCACAGCACAGGAGGGCAACCCAGAGAGAATCGTTTAAGAAGTTGTTCTTTGGTTTGTTTGTGGGTTTTTTGTTTTGTTTTGTTTTGTTTTGTTTTGTTTTGAACTCTCCTACCGTGACCTCTGGAACTGAAGGAAAATAAGTGATTGCAAAAACAGTTTGATACGTGAACATTAATGTGATGCAGCCGTCAGGATTAAGAGGATGGTCCTACATTGAAGACACCAGTGCAATGGGCGGGAAGACTTTTGTCCAGGTTTCTCCATGAATTTGCTTCGAAGGTGTGGTTGTTCCACTTAATGCATCTGAGGCTCCTTGTCTCCATGCATTAAATAAAAAGGTCAGAGACACAGGATCCCCGTGGATTTAATGTGATGGGTGTTTATGATCCAAAAACAAGCGAGGGGAAACCCGAGTTGACTTGAGCTGTGTAAAACCAACAAAGCGAAACAAACGCCAAAGATCTACCGGTTAGAGCTTCTGACTCATTGTGAGTCAAAAACGAAGCCAAACAGCTAATCTCTGACTGTGAGAACAGAAATATTGTGTGATTCATACCAAAGGCATGGCTGGACTCTGGAGAGTCTGGGGAGGCAAGATTACTTCTGTCTGTGGGTGTCATGCTGACAAAGGAGAAGACACTTTTGAATGGAGGGCAAATGAGAGGATGAGCCATCTGGAAAGCACGGCATAAAGAAGGAAGGTTCCATGGCATCAGGGCTTCAAGTGTTTCAGAGGCGATTATGTAAAAGAGAGGCGTGGGAGATGTCTTGCTTCAGGAAGACAGAACGGAAAAGAAGAACTTCGAGCAGAAGAGTTTGATTTAATATGAGCAAGAGTTTGGGGGCATAAGAGATATAAAAAATAAAGCAAACTTCACCAAAAGTAATAGGCTCTCCATGACAACAATAACAAAAAACAATATGGAGGTGATCAGCTATAAGGATGTTAACTTAGAGATTTAAGCATGGCTCTACAGAACCATGAAGGTTCAGCTCTATTTTAAAATTCCACGCATCTGAAATGTTCCTAGAAACAGTGTTCATCACAGCACCTCAGAGCTGGCGGACACGTGGGAAGCTATCTAGTCAATGTGATGTACACTGAATGAAGTTGGCTTACACTGCGTGGCTCTAAGTCTCCCACTTCGGAGAATCTCTGGATAACTTCCAGGGGGCAATAAGGATCAACTATGGCTTACAAGCCCCAATCGATCAAAAATGGAAGTGATATTCCTGGGTTGCAAGCGCATGCTGCACATAAAGGCGGCCATGTAAGCTCAGAAGACTTGCAAGGGAGCATAGGAGGGAGGCACCAGAGAAAGATGTTGTAAGACTTGGCTCATCTCCCCAGAGGTTACACGCTCCTGCAGATGGGATCGTCTGCTGTGGATGTGTGCTAGTGAACACACGACTGGACTGAACCAGTCGGAAAAGGTTCTGCCATGTGATCCTCCGTCTTCGCTGCTGTGCCTTCTCTCCCTCACCCTTGACCTCTACGGTTGCCAAGGAAATCAAGCTGCCTATTCATTCACATCCACATTCCACTCCACAAATAGGATGTCATAAGTGAAAGGAGAGCATAGTCAAGTTTCTGCTGGGCCTGTCCTGAAGTTAAAAATTTTGGGGTGATGTTTTTATATATCAAACACATGCCATGCCTTTCAAAGGGTGGGCCTGAAAATGGGAGTTGTTTTTCCAGTTATCGGGGCTAGCAATTCATTAGAATTGGTTATGCAAATCAAACTGCCTAGATTAGGAAAGCAATGCCTTACAACACATTTTTGGAGGTTTAAGTAAATGTCACAGGAGTGACTTTTTAAAATATGCAGATTCTTAATAGCAAGTTAAAATGTTGTGCTGAAACGTCACCAGGTAAATGAAGACGCGTAAGCATGGCCGCTGTTTAAGCTCCTGAGGGCTGACTTGACTAACAGAGAAGAGGGTGAGCATGTGAAAGCCCTTCCTGGGGATTTCTCACCAGCGTGGCCAAGAGTCAGGGAACCGCAGTGATGATGAAAGGTAAAAGCTAGAAGCTTTTAGGATTTTTGAAACTTGTGATAGGGCATGTAATAAAATTTATCATAATAATTATAAAGACAATATGACCCTAACCAGTGTGGCTCAGTGGATAGAGCCTGCAGACTGAAGGGTCCCAGGTTTGATTCCGGTCAAGGGCATGTACCTTAGTTGTGGGCACATCCCCAGTAGGGGTTGTGCAGGAGGCAGCTGATCGATGTTTCTTTCTCATCGATGTTTCTAACCTTCTATCCCTCTCCCTTCCTCTCTGTTAAAAAATCAATAAAATATATTTTAAAAAAAAGACAATATGAAAAGATGGTGTCTTCTTGATTCCTGTAGGATACTAGATATAACCTTAAGAACAATAGCCTTTAAAGGAGGGGAGTGGACTGACAGTTCTTGGGGAAATGGGGAGTGGTGAATGCTGGAAGAGACTGAACATAAACTGTGCACCTATGGATGAGGACAACGGGGAGTGGGGAGGAGGCGGAGGGAGGGGTGGGAACCTGATGGAGGGGGGAAGAAATGAGAACCTTTGTAATAATGTGAATAATAAGAATTGATTTAAAAAATATAAAAAAAAATAAAATCTCTAAAAAATAAATAAGTAAATAAAAGAAAGGTCTAGTTTTAGTACACTTAATTAGCAAATCAAAAATATGGGTGCCATGGCATTCAAAAACCACTGATTATCAGATTAAAGTTCCAAGGAGTTAGATCCTGTAGTTGCATTTTCTATAGGAAGGAGTATCAGGGAGAAAAAAAAAAAAGTTAGCAATTTAGGTTTTGCTCTTACATATATCAATATATCAACATGTTTAGAATGTAGCTGGGAAATCAGTATTGTCTCACTTTTGAGATAAGAAAAACATTACAGTTGCATATACATCAATTGAGTTTTCAATATCACGAAGATCTCTTTTTAGAAGTATTTTGGAAAGAACATTTCTGACCAAATTTGTAGAATAAATATCGTCTTGAAAATCAACTCTTTGTGTTTGAATCAGTTACAAATTGTTTTTACTGCGTATAATTAGCCCTGGGTCCAAATTCATAAATGCAAAGACAAGTCAGGCACCACTAGAGTACAGGTGTCTTAAACAACACTCCAGTACCTCTAGAGCAGGCCTTTAATTTTCCTTTCAGCTATAGGTTTACCTGGCAGGAAAAAACTGAATCGTTTCTTCCTGTTCTGTTCACTTCATCAAAGTCCAATAAAGGAATTAAATGAAGCGACAGTATTATATACTGTTACCTAGATCTTGACCTAGTAATTGATTTGATATCCTTCTTGTCGTCATCTAATTTCTTGTCCTCGGAAGATTTCGTGTCCTGCAGGTTCTCGTCGCCCTCGTCATCGGATTTGATCTCAGAGCTGCCGGAGGAGACACTCTGGCCCTGCAGGCCGGGGGGCATGCCTACGGAAACAAAGAGAACAGGTGACACCTCCACCAAAGACTCCAGGCTCCAACCCGCACCCCGGATTTGGAGCAGCAAGCGATGCAATTCATGCTGCTCAACTGTGACCCTTCCGTCTTTTGTGTGTGTGTGTGTATGCAGTACCTGGTGAAGTTTCAAAACTGCACCTGCGGGGAGACAAGTTTTCTCTGCCTTGGCTCTGAGGTTAAATTCTATTTTGCAATCTTTTGGAGTAGATGGTAATTTCACTGTCTACAAAACATCAACTTAATTGCAATGAAAATCATAATCATGAAAATCATACACCTCAATGTTCTGATTAAGAACCCAAGTAAATATCAGCTATTATATTGAGTTTCTTCCATATGCAATGATTTAATAGAAAAATGTCCTTAAAATATAATTCCCAGGGAGTGTGCTAAATTTGTACAGTCAAGACTTCAATAGATATCCTAATGATATTCTGAAATTAGGCTTCTCTTATCCTCTAAGAGTAATCAGCATTTAAAAATGGTACATATGGAAAGCAGATAGCTGCTCGCTGAAGAGATTTCGATCTTTCTCGCTGCTCAATGTTTGAGACCACAACACACATTGAAACTTGACCCGAATGCAATCCTTTATGTCTAGGGTAGAAGCATGTGTATTGAGTATTGCCCTCTCTTTGTAATCTGTGGCCTAGAACCTTGTCACTCAAAATTTGGTCCACGGGCCGGGAGCATCCTCGCACCTGGGAGCCCGTTAGAAATGCAGAATCCCACACCTGCAGAGTCAAATTCTGAATCTGAACAAGACCTCAAGTCGTGCTTATACACATTAAAGCTGAAAAAGCGTTAATCTAGGAAAGAGAAAGAAAAACCAAAAGGCTCTTTAAAAGAATGGCCTGCCACATTCTTACTATTTAAACAAAAATGGGGCGGCATCCCCATCTATAATTAATACTCAGGTGAGTACCATGTTTAACGGGTGAAAAAATGCTCAGACGTATTCCCGTGGTAGTGTTATCATTCTTGTTCTAAACGTGAGGGGAATGAGATGTTATTCAAGTGTCTCCCCATCGCCTGCTCAGCCAGTTACACAGGGAGCCTGGGACCCAGGTCTGGCCCCAACAGGACAACTTCCTGGGGTCATGAAAGCCCACTGCAGTATGACTGAGGTAATCGTCATGCAGCTAGATGACTCAATACCGAAAATTGTCCAAACAACTCCATTTTTTTTTTTAAAGATGTGCCTATATTTCCTCCAATCTTCAACAACAAAAACAGTTTCCTTCCTTCCTATTCATTTGGAAATATCATTTTCAGGCTACAACTAACCATATTAGAAGGAGCCGAATGAGTAAGATGTGGAAATAGCTAAAATAAAATTTCCTCTCATCAGTCTGTTGTCTTGGTCCCTGCTGAAACAGCACCAGGATTTCAGGGGATGTTTGAAGAAAACAGCTACTGAAGAAACACAATTAGCTGTTCTAAATACTTTCCCATTTACGTACCATTTTTGGGCCAAATTTGATTCTTGGTTTTCTGCCAGTGCTTCCTGAGGGACGAATGCCAAGTAAGCTGGGGATCAGTGCTAGCTCTGCCGCTGTGTGAGGACAGAAGTGCCCCAGTGCACCTACCTCTGTACGGGTCCTGGGGCGGGTTCAAATCAGGGGAGGTGGCCGACTGGACAGGAAGCTGTGGGACTGGAACCTGGTTTGGCACAAGAGAATGGCTGCCTCTCAGGGCCACTCCGTCTTCACGATGGGCCCCGACCTGCAAGGTGAGAGGAACCATCGGGGTTAGTGGGGACCAGAGGTGAGACAGTTATATAGGGGTAGCCAGGACCTAAGGAAGGGAGACTGGCCTTTGCAAAACAAAACTCCCAAATGCATTTCACTAGAGGGCGCTGAAGGACCACGCATACACCTAGAGTGCCCTGCACAACCACTTAACACTCAGCAAGATGCCGAGCTGTACATCCAGTGACAAATATGGCAGAGGAGCTCAGGCAGGTAAAACGTCAAATTGTCTCCCAGGGTGCTGCAGTGGAGCGCGCTGATTCGTACCCATCTGTCTTCTATCATGTCCGCCAACAGATCTGACAATTATCTTAATGCCCATATGCTTAATTGTGGGCTTCTCAATTCCCCCATTGCTATCGGAAATCCTACAGGAATTTCAATTTGGCATTCGACTTTCATTTCAGGGGATAAGATTCTCGGGCCTGCCATTTTTTTTCCATAATGCCAGCTAAGCCCGTGACAGCGGAAACTGCGGCAGTGTGGGACGGCAGGCAGCCCCTGCTCGGTAAATAGGATAAAATGTCACCTGGCTTTCCAAAACTGGCAGCCCATTCCAAATTAATGTTTACTGTATTTCATCAGCTGCCGAGTTCCAAATCCAGAGGGGGACCGTTTCTGCCAATGCCACCACACCGGAAAATGTCCCAATAAAGGTTTTATTAAACACACCAGTAATGCCATCATTGCCATGCAAAGAGTTTGGACATTGTTCCATTTTTTTTTTTTTCTTCTTCACTAGTCTGATCCTAGGAAGACACCATATTGTAAACAGTGTTTATGCTTCCAAGAATAAAATCATAGAGTACAGCACGATGCTTTGGTCTGAAAAACCTGCCGCTGAGCTTTTTATGAACTAGTACTACCTACGCTGGCCCAGAGATGTTGAACCCACGACATGAAAACAGCGACTGCTGACCTTCGAGGGTACACGGCCTTAAAGCAGAACATTAAGCTTTTGCAAACTCAGAGGAACCTGAGAAGTTGCATTTTCGTCTGCATGTCAAACTGGCTGTTTTCTTAGCTTGTTGTTAGGTGAACATTTACACGAGACAGTGAGTCTAACACTGAAAAAATCTATCTATGAATTTAGACTGCTGTAAATCAAACACTTGAATTTTTTTCTAATCCAAAATATAAAGCCACAAAGGAGAATCACTCTTTGCTACCAAATGTTTAAGGAAATCAACAACAAGGATCTGAGCTGACAGCAGTTGCATTCCCAGAATTGAGCAGAGGCATGCTAGGTAAGGCAGCCCACTATCCAGTTCTCACCGCTATAGACATTAAAGAAGATAATTCAGGATCAAGGGAAAGGATCAATTAACTGCTCAAATTGAAAATATAGCAAGAATAGTACAGGATATAGACTCAAGAAGTATAAATGAATGTTGTGGCTAAGAGATCTGAGGAAGCCTTTGCTGTCTGCCAGCTATGTGCACAAGTCCCTTTCTGGATCGTTCCAAATGGTGATTATTTAGGTCCTATGAGTGTGCAGCAAATGCACCGAGACCTTGATGGTCTCCCAAAGCAGTCCATGCCATTTTCACTCAAAGTCGGTCTCCTTGCACCTTCCACCACTGACTGGTTCTAGTTTCAGCCCCTGGAGTTTATGGAGTAAGTGTAAGCTCTTCCCACATATGTAATGCCATTGCCACGCCACTCCTGTCTTTCACGTGTAACTGAAGCCTGTTCCTTTATAGGCAGACCATGCCCACAGTCCCACCAACCTCTTCTAACTCACTGTTGGGACATGTTTTTATTTTTCCTTCCAAAGAAAGACTGATAACTATTTTCCATTCAGGTTTTGATTTGCCATTTTTAAATTTGTACATTTCCCAGATTTATTCCTTCGATGATTACCCTTTCCATCCAAGATGTCAACTTGTAAGCATGAATTTCACAGGTCTTGATCAAACGGTAATCTTGAAGTCTGTCAATGTTAACCTAACAATTACCTTAGTGCTGACTCATATTTTTTGGTATTCCCAGTGGATTTCAGTTCTTGGACTTCCACAAAAGAGGATTCTAAGTTGGAATCACTAGGTAACCATGGATCTGAGCATAGCAGAGGTGTTTTAGAATTATTCCATTAAAACTTTCAAGCCTTCTTTGTAGGCATTTATGATGTAATTTAAGGTTAATATTATTGCTTTTCACTTAAAATATATTCAGACATTGACCCTGCAATTTCTTCTTTCCCCCTCTTGATCACACTGAGAATAGTTTTTACAAGAGGAAAAAAGAATTCACAACCAATTACCCTTCTATTTTATTTTCTTTGCCTCAACTATCATGAAAGATAGTGTAACTGAGTGAAAATAATACAATGATGAGAGTCTAGATTCTAAGGGTAACTGGTTTCTTTAATAGGTATATAACGATGAATAAGTTACTCAAAGCCCAAAATGGAGAAAATAATACTAGAAGTTTTAGAGAATAAGTGCCATGTTTACTGCAAGAAGAGATATTTCAAACAACTGGTACACAGTGATAATAGAATATTCTGTGTTCTGAAAATATACATGTATAATATATTACTATAGGGTCTAAGTAGTTACAGAACCCTCGGAACTCAAGCTGCCTTTACTTCAATAATCTTTGCCTCTATTTTGTTCATATCCATTTAATTTTAAATCTCTATCCTGCACAATGATAGCAAAATCTTACATGATTATTATTATAAATATGTTTGAGACTATAGTTGTTCCAACTATGTTTTTGTTTAGATTTTAGCCATATATGTTACCTAATTTTATATATTTGCCATAGATTATTTTAGATCATCTCAAGCAATACATCAATTATTTTCCATAAAGAAAGTTGGAAGCCTTAACTTGTTTGGCACAGTGGATAGGGCATCTGCCTGCGGACTGACTGGTCCCAGGTTCGATTCTGGTCAAGGGTATGTACCGTGATTGTAGGCACACCCCCAGTAGGGGCAGGAGGCAACTGATCGATGTTTCTCTCTCATTATTGTTTCTAACTCTCTAGCATTCTCCTTTCCTCTCCGTAAAATCAATAAAATATATATATTTTAGAAAGGAAGTTCTGCTAAGTTATCTTTACTGTTTTAAGACCTCCTTTGTAAATGAGGTGTATTCCAAGCCAAAGGAAGGATGGATGATAGGTTCCGATCCATGTGTAATGAGCCTGAGTCTCTAGGATCAAGTCCAATGCCTCTGGCTATCAGATAATATTCTAATCTGAAGAATTAGCTTTCCTTTGCATGTCTCCTTGACCACAACAGCATCCCATTCACTTCTCTTTCAGAAACATTTCTTCTGGTCTCGTAAAAGACAAGGAAAGAAAGACAGTAGGTGGCCAGCACAAATCTGCCACTGCCACTAGGGTAGCTCAGAAACAGCCGGAGGAACCAATACTCCTATCTGTACAGGCCAGGGTTAGGGTCTGTCACCCTTCCACATAACATGATCATATAACTAGAAAAAGCAGATACTTTTAAACTTACAAATAGGTTCTTGGGATGGCGCCTTTAAAAACAGAAAAGAAAATTCATACTTCATTAGAGCCCAATTTTGATAACAACCTTTTAACCTAGATAAGCAATAGTTTAAGGTTAAAAGCCAGCCTATGAAAACAGTTCACTTTATTAATATTGGTTGAAAATGCTTTTGCAGTCTTTAGGAACAGCCTTCTTACTGTCATATACTATATGGTTTTAGATATATTTATGCTAAAAGTAAAAGAGAACTAAAATCTAAAAGTATAGGCAATCACTGTTAACTGATCCAAGTGTACATGTATTAATTCACAAATGTTCATGAATCTAGCCCATGCCTGTAATTCTGCAAGGGACTGGGGACACACGCGAAGAGCCTGGATGTGGCCCCTGTCCTTGTGAGCTCACAGTGACCTTTGTGAGACTTTGTGCCCTGAGATCACTCTAGTGAGGCAGTTTTAATAGTAGGAATCAGAGCCTTATTCAAGCTATCCCAAGATACAGCTGTCAGAAGGGAGGATGGCAGGGGTGTGTGTGGGGGGTTGGATGAAAAAGTTGAAGGGGTTCAGGGAAATAAAATCCCAAACAAAAACCTCATAAACAAAGGCAACAGCATGGTGATGACCAGAGGGAAGGGGGTTAGAAGACAGTATAGGGGGATAAAGAGGGACCGAAGAAGACTTGGCTTTGGGTGGTGAACACACAGTACAATATTACAGATAATGTATTATATATAGACTTGAACACGGAAACCTATATTAACCAATAAATTAAATAAAAAAAGGATTTGTCATGGAGGTTTCTGTAATTTAGGCTTTGGACCCCAGACTCACAGGACCTAAGGCCACTCCTTATGCCTCACGAGCAGGTCCAGCCTATCTCCTCCTGGCCTGGAACCTGTCCCCCTGCCCCTGCCCCTCAGGACTCCAGCTGGACTCTTCCTTCATGGTATCTTGTGGAACCTTCTTTCAGGATCCATGCACGCTGCTCACGCCCTCTCTGTCTTAGTATTTCTGAATTCAGAATGTCAAGATCATCTGATGGCCCAGCACAGTTTGAAGCAGATGTGGGCCATCCTTTGAATGGGCCACCCTAGGATCGGTGGTCCCATGAGCTACAAAAGAGGAAGAGGAGGCCAGGTCATGTGATCTCAACATCGCTGCCCCTTCCGCAGGCCCTGCACACCATGGCTGTTATGTGCAAATGTCTAAGTTACATTTCATCTTAGCTCAAGTCATATTCAAATTATGACACAGCTATTTAAATTCTCCTGTGCTAATTTATCATTGGGCAGAATTAGAATAACGTTAGAAGTGCATTACTTCTTTTGAGTCTGTAAGCACTATAAATGTCAAATAACCTTACTTTCTGAGGAAAATACTGATATAGCAGAAACACTTTTAAATCATAGTATATAGAGTTTAAGGAGTTGGAGACACGTGGAAACCAGTTAGGCCAAATTCCTCATTTGACAGAGAAGAAAGCTAAGGCTGCAAGTGTGACTAAGTGAC